GTGCATGTGCATTTTTTTTAAGTAGAGAGGGTGGGTCTTTTCAAAAAATCATGAAAAACCTGAACCTACTCAGCTGAAAGAAAAAAAAAAGGGTATAAATACCACTGGAAACATGGGGAAAAAAGAAAATACATTAAAAACCAATATATACTTTTCCACAAGTTATCGAGAAGGAAATTAATACAATTGATCGGACCATTATTTTTAAATAAAATGTAAATAAAACATTTTATATTGATGCTTTTTTTTACATTATCACACTTTTTAAGTGACGTCAATTTCATTAAATATCAGGAAGAAACAACTTGAAAGACTGAAAATGATTTATTGCTTGGGATGTGAATCATTTTTGGCTTCATTATGCAATCCCTGGTGATACAATTTTGCTGTTATGAATTTTTGGGAAGTGAACAAACATTATAATTTTCTCTGAAAGAAATTGTCTGCATGTTTTTACCACCTACGTTGCAATAACACAGAAAAAAAAGAACTGGTTAAAAGCTTAACATTTTTATCTTATTAAATAATTTCCTTCAGTTGAAACATCCGATCTGAAGAAGAAATGTAATATTTTCTAACTTCAATTCATTGATACCAAGAGACAAATAGCTGCCATTAAAACCATTGTAAACATTATTGCTCAGGAGATTTATTGTTCCCTTGCCATAAAGCCCTGAACTCGGGCAGATGGGGTTTCGACCCTTCACCACCAATAAAACCAATCCAGGTCTGCAACATCCACGCACTCACCCTCGGCAAGGATTAAAGTGGAGCTTGATAAAAACAACACAATTACAGAAGCCGCACCTAATATCTAATTACTGCAACACTGACCTCTCCTGCACCATTTTCTTCAGCCACGCAGAACTTCTCTGTGGATTTCAACCTTTTCTATTAACCAGGAGAGCAGAAGCAATTTTATTTTATTACTTTTTGGGGGGTTTTATTGTGTCTAAATGTCAGCGTGCCTGACTTTTTGCAGTAAACAACACTCAAGAGTTACTTCAAGATACTTTACCTCATATCTATTTAAAATCCTCCCAGAGACAGAGATAAGAAATAATGGGTTCTTTATTGGGCACCAAAGCAGAGATGGATGGATGAAGAAAACAGCCACAAGAATCCAGGAATCTGAAAGCACTTGTTTAAAAAAACCTCTTGTATTTTTGGTTGGCAAAGTATAACAGATTGCTATTTTAGGAAATATAGATTCTAGCAACTGAAGATTACTTTGCAAATCGTTAAATCTGTGGATTATTTTTTTCGATTAATCGATTAATAATCTGAAACCAAGTGAAACTAAAATGTTTCCACTTCAGGAGTTCTGCATAGAGCATATTGACAGACAAAAATGTTTATATATTTCTTTCAATTTTGATATAATCACTGCTTTAAGTGGTTTGATTTGTCAGCCAAAGGCATGTTTTACATTTCCTATACTTAATTTAATGATTAATCGATTACTGAATTAGTTGATTATTTCAATAATCTATTAATCTGTTTATTTCAGCCTGAACAAATTCTTTAATTTGTAATCTGAGAAATAGAAACAAACTCATATCCGTTGTACCATGTTCATATATCCAAATCCAAAAAAAACAAACCAGATCAATGCATTTAATAAACATAATTTAAAGTGAATATATCACCTGTACAGATTCAGATCAGTATTTTTTGTAAAAAAAACAAAACAAAACAATTTGTGTTTCATGTAGTCGATTCAACCTGTGGATCAACCTGAGATCTAACATTAAGATAGTGTGGCATATCCTTGTTTTATTGCTTCTGTATTTAAATATGCATTAAAAAGAACCCCAGAGCATCCTAAGCATAAAGGCAGTGTCACATGAGACTTCAGCTCCTGACAAATGACACGAAGACATGGCTCCTTTCATTTCATCAGGGATTATTCAGCAACATAAAATACTTTTTAATTAACTCAAACAGTTTTAAATAATCACTTTATATGCCTCCAACATTGTAAACACATAAAGGAAATTTTAAGCCTCTACTTCTCAAACTTCATGGTGATATGCAGGAGTGCTAATGCTAACTTAAAGGAAAAATATAAACACATGAGAGGCAAAGGTAAAAAAAAAAAAAAGACCAAAATACAAAGACTGACATTATTGTGGACCTATTTTCTCCATGTATATAGTGTTGTATTCCATCCCTCTTCTAATTATGAGACGCACTCGCATTCAAGGTTCTTCTGCAGGTACTGGACACTGAAGCAGAGCACTATAAGCAGAGCGGCTGCAGCTAATGGGAAAAGAATAAGTGAAGATCTTTTAAAGTAGCACTTTAACCAACAGCCTTTCTCTTCCATACATTCTAGCTCAAATGACACCAGAAAAGAACATCAACAAAATAAGATGTTAACACGAATAAACCTAATATCAGATTGAACTACATTGAATGCTCAGTTTCATAATGAGCATTGAAGACACCATAAAATGGTCAATTAGACATTAAAGCAAGACGATGAAAGGTTTAAACTAAAATTATTCTAGTGAGTCTAAGTGCCCAGTTTGAGTCCAATTGATGAGTGATTGCAGGATTTATGTTTAAAACTGAAAACTTCTGTTATTAAAAAAGAAATAGAAGCTTAAAGTTCAATTTGGGACAATAGAGCTTTCAAAAACCTACAATGCAATGATAGAGTTGATTCCTTCCCACTATCATCGCAACCCTTGCCTCCATACAGGGGACCAGAACATCCCACCTGTTCAGCCAGGTCAGGAATTCCCCCTAACAACCCCCCTTTCAGGGGTATAGACCAGTATCATACCAGTGATGCAGGCTAACAAAGAACCCAGACGACTGCCCATTCCTTAGGGACGGACTCGTTCTGCACGTACAATTAGCATGTTTACTAAGTCAAAACAAGGCTTTGTTTTTGGTCCACTCTATAAAGCAATGCTAATTCTGAAATTTCGAATTGAAAAAGCTTCTTGGATGGGAAGTGAAACATCTTCAAACTTGGAAACTAAGTCCAGTGGACTTCTTTAACTTTTTTCAAATGAATTGGGACAATTGCCCAGTCGGCCTCAGCAGATGGCCGCTCACACTGAGCCTGGTTCTGCTGGAGTTTTTTTCCTCTCCACTGTCACTACAAGCATGCTTAGTGTGAGGGATTGTATTTGAGTCAATGAGTTAATGCAATCAACTGGTTTTCCTCAGACAACTTTGAATCAATCTGACTGTATGATCTGGTTGAACTGTAAAGTGCCTTGAGATGACGTGTTGTGAATTGGCGCTATATAAATAAACTGAATTGAATTAACAATAGAGAAAACTATTCCAGAGCTTACTGTAAACTTGTAAGTCCAAAATTCTTTATCGAGCTCCTTTAAAGACATTTAACCTTACTAGACTGGAGTTTTATTTCATTTATATACATTTTTGGCAACCCTTCTTAAGATGTGAAAAATCCTTAAATTTATACCACATACACACACATATATATATATACATACATACATACATACATACATACATACATATATATATATATATATATATATACATACATACACACACACTTTTTTTTTTTTTTTTAAGAATTATTTTAAACATCCATCTTTGCCACTTGTAGAAAATGTAGAGGTTCATGGGGTCCTGACACTTTTTCTAAGACGGTGTTAAATACTCAAACAGTAAGAGCGTACATACTCATTCCTTCTTTTAAAGTGTAATTACCGGGCATATGGTAATTACTTTGGATCTGCAGACACAGTAAAAACTAAAGGTTAAGTCTTGAAATAGATTCAATGATACTGAGGGTTTTAGATGTAGTGAGTTTTAACAGACAATTAGGAAACAGCAGCTTTACCATAATCGACGAAAAAGCAGAAAAAAATGCTGAGTTCACAATAGTTTGTTTCGTTTTGATCTTTCTTCTTTTAATTTTCTGGCATGTTGTCCATCTTTCAAATACACTGACGGGTCACTGATATGCAGTCTCTCATCTGTTTCACAGAACAGTGTGAGTCTGATTCCTGCACAAAGACAGGGTTAAGGGATTACTCTACAAACAAATAAAAAGAACACAAAAAGAAAAACCACGAGCCGACATGGCATCATCATGAAATTCATCATGAACTGTTGCAACACAAAGCAGGACAATGCCCAAACAGTTTGTAAGGATGCACAATTAGAAAAACAAGGCTGACATAAGAACAAGTGGTTTAAATCAATGAAAGTGTGCGAGAAAAAAGGAATCTGTTCAACATATTAACAGAAAAGCTCCTCACAAGTGTTGCAAACTGATAATTTATTATAGATATAATATCAGGTAACAAGCCCTGAATAAAACAAAAAGTTCAGTCTCATAAAAACTAACAAACAAAAAAACAAAACAGCAAATGTAAAATACAAAGATGCACATTTGTTCCAACGAGACACTGTACAGCTTAGAAACTCCTTTAGATCTTCATGTTCCCAAATGTTTAGCCCATGAAGAGCCAAGGCATTTTGTTTTAAAGGTAGCACAAGTCCTTCTACTTATAAAGTGAAATAAACGTATAGCTTTTCCCCCCATATAAAACTTACAAAACAAACCAGTAAACAGCTAGAAGAGCAGGAGGTCACTGGAGCAGCCTCTTGAAACGTCCACCATCCCAGTCTCAGTTCAAAAGCGTCAAAATGTCCAAGTTGCACTTTGAAAGAGTTCATTACAAACTACAGTAAAGACCAAACAAAAGCTTCAGTGTTTTCTTTTTATCTAAACGCGAAAAGAAATACATTTAAAATTGTTTTCCCATGTAAAATGCATCCGAGTTTTAGATTTTCATGCCTGGATTTGATGGCATTGGCTATTTTGCACCTCCTTCCAAGTTTTCTCCCAATACAGCAGCATTAGTTCATGTATCCCACTAAAAACACAGGAGGAGTCATATGCAAGCAGACAATTAAGCTTAGACATTTCAGAAGATGCTTCAGTTGCCATGGCTTGCAATATAATTATGGGTTGTTAAATTGAGACCTTTTTAAGTCACAATTCTTTAAAGAAAAAAAAAAATAGACAATTATAAATGCTTTGGTACCAAAATGTACCACTTTTAGGCGAGCAAATGAAAGTTAGTTACACAGGGAACATGTACTGACATCACCGTTTTTGATTAAATGGGGACATTTTGTCAGCTTGAGACGTTACCAAATGGATGTTCATATTTCCCTCATTCTTTGCAAATAGATGGCATCAGAAAACCTGCATCAGTCACGCCTTTATAAGTCTGTATTTGTCATATTCTGACACAAATATGTAGACACTATCGTCCGAGCGAAAGTTAAGAAACTGAAAATCAAGCCGGTATCTGTTGCTGCAGAAGCATGTTTGAAGAAAAGCAGAAAAACCAGGGGGCTGTGATCCTGCAACATGGTGAACTGTAGTGGTGAACGTTAGCAGCCAAAGGAAAACTCCTGTAAGTCACTTTAGCGTTTCAAGTCTGTGGAAAGGATTCCGGCTGCGAAACCAGAGGCGTGCTGAGATGATGTGACCTGTGGTCGTAAAGGTAACCATCGGGTGGAGTCAGACGCAGGTCCCTTGGTGAGCTGGTGGAAGGGCTTTTCTGTTCTTTAAGGTTTGGGACTTGTCCTTAAAATCTGATGGTTTCTGCTGTGAGATGTCGACCAATGCACTGGCAACAATCAGTCCTGCAGGAAAAATGGGCGGAGGAATGAGTGACACATACATGAACCTTTTTTATGCATCTGAGAATAACACAAACAATAATAATTAGTAAAAAAATGATAAAAAAATGATTTATCTTTAATCAAATTTTTTCCTGGGTTGCAGTTGTAAATCAGAATTGGCAAAATAACTAAACTAAATAGATGCTCCATCTGATACCAATATTAGCTGTTTTTTTTTATAGGTATGTAAATCTTGCATTGACTGTAAAATGTTTGCTGTTCTTAATTTGGTTTGTTTACTTAAATATAAACAACATACTGGTAACAGGTAGGGCTTTTTTGCGTCATGTAAGACTTCCTGGTAAATTTTCTATGAAGGAAGTACTGTTGTTTTTTATAGGAGTATCTCAGGGAATTAGGATATAACGGAATTAATTAGTAATTAACCCAAATAAAGAAAAATGATTTTCTCGGAAAATTCAAACAGTATATATAGCCAATATAAAAACTGTTTCTGAACTACGCCTATTAATTTCATATATGCTTAATACAGGTTTTCAATACAATATAAATATATTCATATATAATTTAAATACAGGGTTTAGCGACTGGTTCCTGGTCTTTCTATTCTTTAACATTTTTTCACTGTTTATCCTATTTTATATATATATTTATTAACAGCTTCTCTACCCATCTGTGTTTATTGGTTTAGTAGACTTTTAAGGTTTGAGATTAAGGGGTTAAAAAACAAAATCAAAATAAAAATGCAATGCTGCATCTGAACAATAATTACTCTTGATTTATCCAAAAAGAAGTCCCCAGTGTTAAGAGTACGCTGCTACCTTATTTCATCAAATATTAAAGATTCTATGAAAACACCTCAGGTCATAACAGTGAGAGATTTCGGGGGGGAAATAAGGCAGCGCCTCAGACGACGGGACATTTGAAGACCGCTGCCGAGCCTGACAAGCTGCACTGCGGCATACTGACAAGCAAATTAAACAAGTTTTATTCTGACTACTGAACAGTTACTCTGTCAGTATGCTCATCGACTACCTAAAGGATTTGTGCCTTTTCATTGGTAAGCTAAAATCAATCAACTTTCATTTTTTAAATCTTCATGAGTGCTTACATTTTTTGTCTTGCAGGAACAAAGTAGGACATTTTGAACAGTCTTCTAAATGTCCTACTTTAAACGATTTATTAGAGCCTCATTTAAAAATTAAAATGTAAAAATTAAAACGGTGTTGCTTGAGGCTGGAGCTATCACCTGGCAGTGTACCTGGGTTGAGCTCTGTTTATCAAAGTGAAATTTATGCAGTAGGTAAAGAATGTGGACAAAAATACATCATGATGACTAAGGGTGTGCAAAATATTCGTCATGACGATGCATCACGATTCTAATTTTTGTGATCTACTGCATCGATTCTTGAAGGCAAGAATCGATTATAAAAATAATTTAAAAAAAAATGAACAAATAAAATACATTAATTGTTGGCGCACATCAGCCAATGTGTTGACGCCCGCTGCCTTGTGTCACAAGCATTTCCGGCCGCGGGATACTGCGACGAGTCATTCGTAAACAAAATATGGAGGACACTGAGAAAATTCGCCCTGCTTGGATGCATTTTGGCTTTAAAAACAAAGAAGGTAAAAATTTAATTGATATGATGCACATAATTTGCAAAAGGACCACTGAGGCCATGTAAACGCAACTGATTATCCTTATTTTGTTATTTTAAGTTTGATGAATCCTAAGATCTTTTTGTCAGTGTGTCCACTCCAGCAATAGTAATATTTGTGTCCAGTATTTGTTTTCATGGCAACACCTCCAAAAGTCATTTCAATAAATTCAGCTATGTATAAATTCAGTTGCTTTCAGTTATGTATCAATTGAAGAGACTATCCAGATCACACACAGCCAGTCAGCCACTGGTAATAGCTGTATCTTTTTCTTACAGTGTTCAGTGAAAATACCGCAATGCATCTCAATATTTCAAATATCGTGATGCATCGTGATAGAATCGCATCGTGGCATGTGAATCGTGATTCGAATCGAATCATGACTTCTTTGCCAATACCCACCCCTAATGGTGACAATGATCAAGATCTTTAGGAAATCGTTCTTGATTACGTTTTTTAGAGTTTCTGTAATAACTGCAGACAGAGACAGATGATTGATATATTGTCAGTTTGAGTGGTTACCTGACTGTCCAGGTGGAGGCAAGTCAGAAAGTCCAGACGGGAGACGCATGAGGACCGTCAACACAGCCGCTTTCCCTCCAAAACATGGCTCCATTGCAACTGGTTTAGGTGGCCCCTTCAACAAACAGGAGAAAACCCAACAATTTTACAAATTTTAGCAAAATTCATTAAGGTATTATTCTTCCAGATCAGGTATTAGTTTAAAAGAAAACTATACCTTGTTCTTAAAAGACAACATCAATTACAGCAATCATGGCTTAAACAGCCTTCTCTGCTCATACGCCATTCCTCAACAGATAAGTTGAAATCAATTCTATTTTCTGCTCTGGTCAGAGATATTTTATTTTTTTATTTTTTAAGGGACCAGCTGACAAAAAGTCATGTCATCTGATGGAGCCGCTGCATTTAAGTCAAGACGCCCTCCTCCTGAGACAAATGGTTTGATTCGTCACACAACAAAAACACTTGTGTCTCTGTCAGACAGTCGGTGCGTCGAGGCGATGACCTACCCCTCAGACGTAATGGCCAGAGCTGCTCGTATCAAGCGTGAAAAACATGTCATCCTGATAATGAATGTCAAGGGTTTCACAGCATGCTTTGGAAGAAAGGACAGAAATTGTGGAGCAATGACATGACTCTGAATAGAAAAGGATTTCTTCGTCTCTGTTTTGTTTAAAGTAGATGTAGCAAAGTCAAAGTGGGAAAAGATACATTTTTTAGTCTCCAAAAGTATCGTAATAATTAAAAACATGAAGAAAAAAAAAGTAAAATCTGACATTAAGGATCCAAAAATCTACTCTGGTCCAAAAAAAAATCTAGTGATCTTTAGTAGATGCAGACTTGTTCTCTATATATTAATTTTTCTCTCTCTGTGGACCAGGTTCCATGGTGCATGCCATGTTCTTTGCTGTAGCTCTGAAACCTTTTTAGAAATCCAGAGAGAGACGCTCACAGATAAAAAATACTTTCACTGACAGAAACTTTCAACAGATCAGGTGTAACTGTTATCTTTGAGGGTGACACAGGGTGACTGATTTTTACACCACCTGCGATGTTAAGTGGTCGATCTGGCAGCAGTTGCTTTATGTGAGTTTGGCTTTTCTCTCACCAGGTGCAACTGTGGCCCATTTTCAGTGGTAGGTTTGCCTCTTTTATAGACAATTGTCTATATAACGAAAAAAAACAACAACCCCACAATAGCTATGTTTACAAGTAGAAAAATTTGAAGATGCTTTCGGAATAAAAACAAATCCAAAAATAATCTAAATGCACCGCTCTTATGGACATAACTGGAATAAAAATGTGTCATCTACACAGGCCTATTAGATTATTCTGGTAGCATCTACTGTAGCATTAGAAGTGGAAATGCATACATTGATGCAGGGTGCACATACAAACTCAGGTCAGTTTGCCCCATTTAGAATAACATAATCCTAACAAGCATTACATGCAAAACAATAACATTGTCAATCTGCATAAATAGTTATGTTATTGCAAAAATAGCCAATATCAACAAGTCATGTTAGAAAATGGGTAGAAATTACAACTATGTTTCTATATTCCAAAAAATATTTAGAAAAGTGATTTAAAAGTTACATTTATGGTCAGATTTTCCGCAAATTAACAATGATTGCAATCATATATCTGTCTATCTACAGATGTACCTCTCCATCAAAATAAACAAAAACATTCATTTAGCCCTTACCCCAAATATATTTTATTATAAATGCAATTTGTAATTATAATGACAGAAGAAGTGTTTATGCATAAACACTCAAAGACTAGGGGGGAGTGAGACAGCTTGTTGCAAAGGTAGCCAGCAGGAGCACCTGGTCTTTGTTGTTGATTTTTTTTTCCCATCAGCAGGGAACAGCCAATTATCCTTTAAGCTATCACAGGGTCTTAGTTTTTAGTCTTTCAGTTAATGGGCTATAATGGAGTTTCAAACTCAGATGTCACACATTAGCTCCACTGATGTGATATAAGGTGACATAAGGTCCAATCTCCTTTTGGACAGCTATGTCTGTTTTGGATGAATATGAAAACCCCAAGCACCATAAATCATCACAGGAGAAGCTGATAAAACTAATCTAATTATTACTGTATAACTTAACTTGGGGGATAACGGTTGCAACACCACACTAGGCCCTTTTTAAATGTTATTCAGTTTTCATCTAACCATCCATCCATCTTTTCCTGCTTATTCCGTCAGAGTCGCAGTGGGGCTGGTGCCTATCTCTGGCAGTCTATGGGCGAAAGGCGGGGTAGACCCTGGACAGGTCGCCAGTCTGTCACAGCGAAATACAGAGACACACGGAGACATACAATCATGCACACACACTCACAACTAAGGAAAATTTAGAGAAGCCAATAAACCAAACAGTCATGTATTTAGACTGTGGG